CACATAAAGTGTATATATATATATATATATATATATATATATATATATATATATATATATATATATATATATATTGAGGTCACCAAATCAGACTGATTAAAATACAAATTTTTACCTTCATCTTTATTCATCCACAGGCACAGCAAAAGTAATAAACACACATACACACACACACACACACACACACACACATAATACTGAGCTGAAACAATACAGCGACTCTCAAAATCAAGTAAATCAAGGTCAAGGATTATGTTGATTACTGCGGAGTATGTCTACAGTCATGATTACGCTTTAACAATATGACAATTACCGAGTGCCTCGTGAACAACAGCACAGCTCAGTCAGAAGCTTGAGTGCTGAGTGAGTTCTAATGAGAGCTTTAGTAAAGTTTGTTTCATGACCACATGAAGCGCATGACTGTTGACTTTCATACCTTTTCTGTAGCTTTCATTCAGCTTCTTGGTGATCCACTGCATGGCCTTGGCAGCGATTTTGGTCCCAAAGTTACGGTCAAATGGAGAAGGAGCACCACCCTAGTGAAAGATAAATATATGGATAATAATTCATCCTTTAATATTTATTTATAATTTATTTGCATTTATTTGTTATTTTATTAGTTAATATTGTTTAGGTATAATATTTCTATAATGTTAATATTATAATGTAGGTTGCATAGAATCGTCACTACCTACGTCATGAACTTGCAATACGAGACACAACAGATCCGCTAGATTTAAATCAGCGCAGCCAGCGAAAGATCGAACGCAACTGTTTTGAACGAGCGCACCTTTTTTTAACAACCAAAAAATGGTTTCAGGGTCTGTTGAGGAAGTACACACATTCCTCTCGTTGATAGCTGAGGAGCGGATCCAGCGAGAGCTTGATGGGGCGACGCAGAATGAAAACGTTTTTCAGGAGTCACGGCAGTAGAGGTGGCAGAACTATAACGACTGTGATTAATCCCGCCCACTCTAACACGGTACTGAACTGCAGTGGAAACACAAACCGAGCCGAGCCGTACCACTTAGTCGAAAAGCGCCAAAAGTTCGCAATTCGTAATACGTGTAGGGCCAAAGTAAATCGTGGGGGAAACACCACAGGGGCAAGTGAGAAGAATTTTACTTGCCCAACCGGACAAGAAGCCTGATTAAAATGTCAATAACAAAAATAACGATTACACGACCAAGATGTTTCCCTGAATATCAACACGATTGCAATGTGACACTGATTTTATACAATAGTGGTTAAATAAACAAGAAGTTAAAATTAAGGGCTTACATTTTAGACTGCTTTTGCTCAATTTTGCTGACAAAGATAGTTTCAATCAAAGCCACAGCAGAACTGTTGTGTCTCCCAGCAACACACAGCGGTGTTTCGTTACTGAATGAATCTACGTTTTTGAATGAATCGAGTGAGTCAATGATTCAGTGGCCCATTCACAAAGACAGTCACTTGCCTTGTTTCTGAATGAATCAGCCGTTTGAACGAATCGGTTGAATGAATGACTAAATGACTCACTCATTAAAACAGTCATTTGCCGCCACCTGCTGGTGGTAGGGGTGTGTGCGATATATATCGTCAGCGATAATATCGTAATTGTTGTTTTAACGATGTGCAATTTGACGTTATCTAGTATATTGCAAAAACCAAACCTACAGAGTGCACACATACGTTACGTAATAAAGTTTAGTAGGTTAGACTAGTGCGTGTGTGATTTAGTGTGCGTTCTTTCACTGAAATTATTCAGTTTTTAAAAATGCTTAAATAATGATCACAAAATTCAAGATATGGGGGCAGAGAATGCATATATGCATATATTCATATAGTTAAACAATATCAGTGCTTTTTGTTTTCTCCAAAAAATCAGCATGATTACAAATGTGATATTGATTTAATACAACAGTTCAATAAACAAGAATTTAATATTAAGAGACTTATGTTTTAGACACCATATTGCCTGTTTTTGCTCTATTTGAGCAACATGATGGTGTTTTGTTCCTAATGAATCAACCGTTTAAGGGCTTCGGTTCAATTGCAATGACTCACGTATTAATGGTGACTTGCTGCCACCTACTGGCGTTTTTAATTTCACATTTAAAGTATATATATATATATAAATAATTTCAAATAACAGTATTCAACATTTCATGTCTAAAATAACAAAACATTATTTATGCATTTGTAACTGCAGGTTAAAGCATCCCATGTCCCCCCGAGCTGCATGAAACAGTGTGTAAATGCATCTAAATACCAATTTAGATGCAGCTTCTGTGTTTCCTCTGCACTGCAAAGATGAATTTTGTTGATACTGATTTAATTTGCCTGGTAACAGCCCAAATGTCTTATCATTCTAATTGACTGCTTAAATGTAAGAATTTGACTCAAAAGATGATACACACCTTTAGAAAAAATGTCTTTATAAAGGTAAAACTGCTCATAAAAGGTAACATTCAAGTTAAACTTATTGGAAAAGATTAATTTCTATCACTGCTGAGAACTGACCACCACACAGAATATGAAGAATATCAAAAACTTTAGGAATCCGTCCATGGTAAGTCCTTAAGATATCAGCACAACTACACACTCAGCAAAATATCATCTAATTATTGTTATCGATAAAATCCCAGAAAATATTCGCACACCCCTAGCTGTTGGTTTGGTTTCATATTTAAAAGTATCATTGCATTTTGAAAAAGGTGCAGCTTCTGTGTTTCCTGCAGTGGAAAGATGGAGTTTGTTGATACTGATTTCTATTATTATTCTAACTGAATTAATTGAAACAATGTAAGAATCTGATGTGATTCTTACATCGGTGTTTGTATATGCTGTCAGATTTTTGTTTTTGTTTGTATATGCTGTCAATTATAGTTCTTAGGAAGAAAATCGGAATCGGCAAAAATTGGTATCGGCAGGTGACACACAGAAAAAAGAAAATCTGAATCGGACAAGAAAATTGCAATCGGTTCATCTCTATTTGTAACTTCTACCTAAAAGTCAGCATAGTATTATACATAATACAATCAAATGAACCCTAAATGCTTATAATAATATATCCCAAATATAGGGCTGTCGCGGTGAAGGAATTTTCCTTGCGGTAATTTTGAGTGGCTCAATAGCGCGGTATGCGGTATCATCGCCATATACTGTATATATATATATATATATATATATATATATATATATATATATATATATATATATATATATATATATTAAGTAGAGCTGATAGATGAAGTCTGTGGTGTAGTTTTCATTACTGTTCTCATTCCTGCATGAACACAAGCGCAGACAAACCGGCTGAGTGAGTGACAGAGCGCATCTCAAACACACACTGACCCAAAATACTCTCATCTGAGCCGAGAGGAGAACAAACATGAGGGAACAAACCACAGACTCAGATTCTGTCTTCTCAGACAGACAGATAGACAGATAGATAGATACCTCAGGACTAGTCCTCTCTGAATGCTGGTCTTCATTTTCTCTGTCAAGTGCTCTACGTTAGACTGAAGAAAAGAGAAAAGAAAAAGAGTTTCTTCATTTAACCAACAGATGGCACTAATGGTTATTGTTTAATAACTGGAAGTAAGAAAATGTCTTTTCTTACTAACTATTATAAGCATAAATCAGTTTGGAGACATGGAATATTTACTTTTCATGACGGTAAATCACGTTCACAGAGAGCTTCGGGAAGATAAACTGCACTGAATATGGGCTTTTAGGAGCACCTTACAGACACAAAACTATTTATGATACACAATAATGCTCCTCATACCAAACTGTATATAAGACTGCATATGCTATTCCAAAATACATTGCTTTCAAAACTGTCTACATATTTTTATTACTAAGTATCTTTGAGTCATTCCCAGGAAACTGTGAC